GCCCGTTGATATTTATCTCACTCTTTTAAATGCCTGTGTTTCGTATATATGAAGCTACTAAGCTCAGAGAGGTTGAGTAACTCACCCAAAGCCACAGAGCTAGGAAGCATGTCTGACTCCAAAGCTGTGCTCTTCGCATATGCTAGGCTCATGCCGAAAGGGGAAGGGTTGGATGGGGCCAGAAGCAGGTCTAGGGCAGGCTGGCTGGGAGGAGTAGAAATAGGCCCCAGCCCTGGTTGTCTCTGCCTTGGCAGCAGGACAACGGCCCACTGTGGGCAGAAGTCAAGGACCCTGCCCACGCCTGCTCACTGGGCCCCTGGGGCCTGGTGAGAGAAGCCATGCAGGGAGCCTCAAAGGTGCAGACCTGGCTGGCCCATCACCCAGAGCTTTTTCTCACAATTAATTCTCACTCCCATGAGCAGGATCCTGGGAGCCAGGAGAGGGAGGACGTGGGGCTGAGACGTCAGGCTGGGCTGAGAGAGAGGAGTGGGGAAGAGTCCGGCCGATCAGGGGCTTCTCCCACCCCCACATGCTCAGCGGCTAACACCCCCCCCCCCCACCATGGCCGAGGGAACGGAGACTCCAGCCCTAACCTGGTTTCCCACATTTCACTCCTGCTGCATTTATGGGTGACATCTACCTTCCGATTTTTACCTCTTAAACAAACAAACAAACAAGCAAATAAACAAACAAAACTCTTACCAATTAGAAAAATAAAGCAAACGTTTTAATGAAAATGGAATATACATACAGAAAAATGTACCCCTAATAGCAGTATAGCATGATGAATTTTTATAAAGGGTAACTAACACCCAGATCAAGAAATAAAACATTTACCAGCCCCCAGAAGCCCTTATATGACCCCTTGTGATCACTACCCCCATCAGTAACGGCCATCCTAACCTTGTTTGTGAATTTTATATGAATGGAATCAAACGGAGTCTGTGCTCTGTTGTGTCTGGCTTAGTTCAACATTAGGTTTGGGCTGTATGATACACCCCGGCATGCGTATTCCACATTTTATTCATCGTTGTGCTGTTGGGGGATATTTGAGTTGTCCCCAGGGTTTGCCTATTTTGAGGACTGTGGCTATGAATGTTTCTGCACGTTTCTTTGCATTTCCGTTGAGTGGATACCTAGGGCATGCCTGTATTCAGAGTTGTAATAAAGCTCTTTCCGTTTAAAAGGAGAATCTGCCTTCCTGCTTTGTTTTTGCTTTTGTCAACTCTACTGATGTATAATTAACTATAATAAAACGCACCCATTTTGAGGGTGCAGGTCGATGACTCTAGATCAACATATACACCCACGTGAATATGACCACAATCAAGATACAGAACATTTCCATCCTCCCAGAAAGTTCCCTCACATCCCTTTGCAATTATTGCTCCCCACCCACTCCTCCCTGGGCAACTACAGATTTGAATTCTATCGCCATCTATTAGTTCTGCTGTTCTTGAACTTCCTATAAATGGAATCCATACAGTAAGGACTTGTGTGTTGTCTGGCTTCTCTCCCTCAGCATTCGGTCTGTGGGACTGTGTCAGTTCATCCACACAGGGTTCTTCTGCCCTGTTTGCCTGTTCCAGATGCTCCTTTATATTCTGTGTGTTTTTTGAATGTATCCGTTTGTTCATCCATTCTCCTGTTGGACATTCGGGCTGTTTCCAGTTTGGCTATAATGAACAATGCTGCTATGATCATCGAGATACACATTTTTGTGTGGACACATGTTTTTATTTCTGTTGGTTGAATAGCTGGAAGCTGCCTTGTTGGGTCATAGGGTAAGTGTAGATTTAACCTTCCAGGAAATGGCCAAACTGTTTTCCAAAGGGGTTGTACCAACTTGCCCTCTCCTCAGCCATGAATGAGAGGTCAGTTGCTCCACATCTCCTCGCCAACCTTTAGTGGTGCCAGGCTATTTACATTGAGCTATACAGTAGGTCTGAAGGGTTACCTCATTGGGAGTTTTAATCTGCATTTCCCTAAAGACTAATGATGTTGAATATCTTTGCATGTGCTCATTAGCCATTTGTACATTTCCTTTGGTGAACAGTCTATTTGTCTTCCTGATTTTCTGGGTTTTTTTTACAGATTTTATTTGTTTATCTGATATATATAGAGAGAGTGAGAGAGCACAAGCAGGGGGAGCAGCAGAGGGAGAGGGAGAAGCAGGCTCTCTGCTGAGCAGGGAGCCCGATGTGGGCCTTGACCCCACAACCCTGGGATCGTGACCTGAGCCGAAGGCGGATATCCAACCGACTGAGCCATGGAGGCGCCCCTCAGTCTTCCTGATTTTGATTTCTCCCTCTCCCTTCCTACAGTGCCCCTCCCCTGCCATCTACATCCTCAGTACCCTCTTGTTTCAGGGTACTGAAACAGTCTCTTGCCCTCCAATGGGCTACTCCACAATGACCCTTCCTAAACACACTACACAAGTCACTCCCTTGTTCCAAAGGCTGCTATGGCTCCCCGAGTCTGCAGGAACAAGCCCCTTCTCTCGGTCTGCCATTCTCTGTGCCTCCAGCACCCAGGCCCAGCCTTTCTCTCCTGCCTTCCCTAATAATCTCCCAACCCTCTCTATGTCTTGAAGACCCAAAACACCTTGTTCTCTTCCTTCTCAGGCAGGTTTAAATCTGTTCTAAATCAAGTCCGCCCCTCTCCAGGGAGGCTGTCAGCCAGCCCCACCCATGGGGATTCCTGGCTCCTGGAGCTCCTCTAACACACATTTGCCTCTGCTCCTGTTTGACACTCAGCATTTGCTTCCTAACAGCGTCACTTATATGTCCAGAGGGAAGCGAGGGGCTTCTTGGTACTTTCTTCCTACCTTGGTAGGAAGTTTCCCAGTTTATGTGATAAAAGCCATGGAATGCCACCTTTATAAAATTGTATTATCATACTGTATATTAATATCATATATGCTTTTAAAAATTGTACATGTCCCCTCCCTGAAAATTCTAGTATATCTGGGAGGGGGGCACTTGGAAGTAGGGTAGGGTGGGGGAAAGGTACCGCCTCCTTCTCTGTTTTAAGAATCTGATATAAAGGGGTGTCTGGGTGGTTCAGTCAGTTAAGCGTCTGCCTTCGGCTCAGGTCATGATCCCGGGGTCCTGGGATCGAGCCCCGCATCTGGCTCCCTGCTCAGTGGAGAACCTGCTTTTCCCTCTGTCTCCTCCCCCCCTCCCCTGCTCATGCGCGCTCGCTCTCTCTCTCTCTCTCTCTCTTGCTCTCCTTCTATCTCAAATCAATCAATCAATCAATCAATCTTAAAAAAGAATCCGATTTAAACAAAAGATAATTGAATTTGGTGGAGACACCCTGGATTTGAGTTCTAGTTCTGCCATTTAGTAACTTTGGGGTGGGTGTTGGGCAGATCAGTTCATCTCTTGGGGACTCCATGGATTAGATGGGGATGACGCCTTACAGAGTTGTGAGAAAAGATAAAACCTAATAAGGATATAGAAGCCAATGGTGAAACACACACGTGTGTGTCTGTGTGTGCGCGCCTGCATGTGGTGCGAATTGGTCTATTAGATTGTAGCCTCTTAGAACACTGACCTGGTAAAGAAATCTTACCCTTTTATACAGAATCGGAGGGATAAGCTTATAGGAATTCGTGAAGGAAGATGTCATGGCAGAGGGCAGGAATCACTCATTAGTGTCCCTAACCCCCTCACAGGGCTCTCCACCACCTCTCTCCTCCTCCTGCTTTTCTTTCTCCTTCCCAAAGATCTCCTCTGCGATGCTGCTGTCCTCTCCCAGCCAGACCGCATTTTGAAAGGGACTTCAGTATGAAACCAGGGGGGATGTAAAACAAAAAAGAGAAAGGAGAAGAGAGCTCCAGATGCCGAGAAGGGAGTCTGCAGAGCACAGGGCCTTGTCCCCCAAGGACCTTCAGCAGCTCTGGGTGGGGCTGCACTGATGGGAAGGGGCTGCTCCCAAGGCAGCGGGGGTGGGGCGGGTGCTGTTTGCCATGACCCTGGGCACCCCGGAGCAAGTGGAATTGCAGAGGGGTCCACCTGGAATGACTTTTGTGTGTCCTCTATAGTCATGCCTTTCTCTATGGTTATTCCTTTTAGAGTTCCTCACTCCAAAAATCACTGGGCTGGAAAGTGATTCACCATTGCTAAAGTCAAGGACCAGGGGGACCCCACGCCCCATCTGGCTGGACGGAGTCAGTCCTTGAACTTTCTGCCCCATGAATTCAAGAACGTTTATGTGCCAAGAACTGTTCTAGTTACTAAAGACGCAGCCTGAGCAAGAGCAGCAAAGGTAAGGCCCTGCAGACACCAGTCTGTTGGTGGAGACAAGACAGGTCAGGGTCCCACGTGGGAGTGTCTGAGGGCTACTAAGAAAATACACCGGCTGGGGAGCCTGGGTGGCTCCGTCGTCAAGCGTCTGCCTTCGGCTCAGGTCATGATCCCAGGGTCCTGGGATCGAGCCCCACATGGGGCTCCCTGCTCGGCGGGAAGCCTGCTTCTCCCTCTCCCACTCCCCCTGCCTGTGTTCCCTCTCTCGCTGTGTCTCTCTCTGTCAAATAAATAAATACAATCTCTTAAAAAGAAAAGAAAAGAAAATACACCGGCTAGGGGATAAAAACGTTACATTGGACTCCAGAGGGTGCAGGGACAGGAGAACGCGAGGAAGGTGTCTGAAGTCAGGCGGTCAGAGAAGGCCCTGGGGGCGGGGGGGAGAGGGGTTCTTCATGGGGGTCGCCGCCGAGGCAGCCGGTGTCCCCTCCAGCCCCGGCCGGTTCTCGCTCCGGCGGCCTCCCCGCCTGCGCGCATCCGCCCCGCTCCTCCTGCGGCGTTTCTGGCCTCTCCCGCCTGGAGGATGCCCCCGGGTCGGGCCGGGTGGCCGCCGCGCGCGGCAGGAGGAGCTCGGCTGCCCAGCACGCACCGTGACACCGAGGGCGGCTGTCCCCGGCTGGCGCGTGACTCCGCCCCGGCCCGCCCCTGCTCGCGTCGTGCGCCTCGCGGGCCGCCGCAGACCGTCCCCGAGTCCTCCTGGGTCGCCCTGGTGGCCGCTGGGCGCGCGGAGCTCATGGAGCCGGCTCAGGGCGCCCCTCCGGGGAGCGGCGGGGGCGAGGCGCTGCTGGGCGAGCTAGAGGCGCTGGTCCGGGACGTGGAGAGGGCCAGCTCGTGGTGGGAGCGCCGCGGCGTGGACTGCGCCATCCTCGGGCTCAGCCTCCTCGCCTTGCCGGCCGGTGAGCAGCACGCGACAGGGTGACAGGGGGCCGGGCTGCGGCTGCGGAGCGGGGTGCGGGGTGGGGTGGTGGAGAGGCTGGGGACTGGGGCGTGGGGGAGATGGTGCTTGCCGAGGACCCCAGGAAGGAGAGGTTCATCCCAAATCGAAAGTCTGGTGGCAGTGTCCTGCCGTAGGTCCCCAGAGGATGGGACACTGGAGGAGGGAGAAGGCCTAACGGCCTGAAGGGCGGTGGGGGTGGGGGAATTGAGAGGGATGAGAGGGACTGGGGGAGGGGAGGATGTACCACGGGGGCCACCAGGGATGGGGTTTCCCCTGGACCTTTCCTGGTCGGGATCTGCCTCAGCACTCTGCTTGTGGCAGCCCCCAGGCCCCTGGCCCAGTTTAGCCTGGGCTGTAGGGGTAGGGGCTAGGGTGTTTGGGCCCAGGTGTCCGAAAGCTGAAGGAAAACCCTGCCCACCCCTATCCCCCCATCCCCAATCTCCTTCCTCCATACAGGGTTCTTATGCCTGCGCTCTGAGAATGTCCTGGTCCTTGGGCTGGGCATCACCATCCTGGGTGTGTCCCACTACACACTCACTGTCAAGGGCAGCCACTTGGCCACTCACGGGGCGCTCACAGAGTCCAAAGGCTGGAGCAAGATCTGGGAGCTTTTCTTTGTGGAGGTGAGCCTAGTTGGGGTAGAGGTGACTGCTGGTACTGTGTGGGCAGATCTCACTGTTCATTCCTTGTTTATGCAATGCCATCATAGTCTGGGGGCGTGCAGGTGTGCACAGCTGTGTGTGCCTATGTGGACTCTGCTGCAGCTGTTGATATGTGTATCCAAGCGTGCAGCACACACTACAGTTTGTGCGTGCGTGTGTGTGCGTGTGTGTGTGCACAGCCCCCGGCCCTCGAGAGGGTGCTCACACCGGTGGGTAGAGAGCTGCATGAGGAATGGATGCGTATCCACCTACGGCAGTGGACCTGGCCTGGGCACCCCTGTTTCTCACCCTTTTCCTCTATGGGCAAAGCCAGAGGCTTCCGGCTAGGTTGTCCTCTCTGGACTGGTGTCAGGCCTTTCCGGTTCCTCTGTGCAACTTGCCTCCTCCCCGCCCCCTCCCGGGTAGACCCTCATCTGGTCGCCCAGGTCCCTTATGAACAAATATGAAAGTTGGCACCGAAGCAGTCCTTTTCTGCCCACAGCTTACTATGACCAATTAACTCAATTATTAACTTGATATAACTTTAAAGAATATATATTTTATTTATTTATTTTTCAGAGGGATAGAAAAAGAGCAAGCACAAGCAGAGGGAGTGGCAGAGGCAGAGGGAGAAACAAACGCCCCCCCGCCCCCCGAGGAGCAGGGAGCCCAATACGGGGCTCGATCCCAAGACCCTGGGATCATGACCTGAGCCGGAGGCAGATGCTTCACCGACTGAGCCACCCAGGCTTCCCGCACTTTATATAACTTTATTAAGGTCTCTATAACTACGTGCACATGCAGACCCACAGATGACATTTCATACGGTTATGCATTTCCTACCTAGGGCTCTCCATTCCCCCCTTTCTCCCCTTCCTCTCCTCTCCCACCTGCACACATTTCTAAAGTGCTAACAACAAGAGGAACCTTCAGGTTCCCGATCCTCACGGTCCATTTCAAGTCTCTTCCCTTCCGCGGGCTTCCCGGGGTGCTGGTGCTAGCTAGACTCTGAGGCCTGGGGCCAAGGTCAGATGCTCCGTAGCTTGTAATCACGGGAGGGGAGAAGCTGGGGGTAGGATGAGCTCTGTGTGGACTTTCCAAAGCTGTCCCAAGTGCCAGGAGCCCCGGGGGCAGCTGAGGGTAAATAGGTGTGGAGTTTGGACTAAGTTGCGACAAGGAATTTGACTGTAGAGAGGTGACTGTGTTCCCAAACTTCCCTGCGCAGCTGAATGACCTGGAAGCCCAGGCTTATTGGAGGACAGCGCCCCGGCCCCTCTCTTCCCCAGGTTCCCCAGGTGGATCTGATACCCACCAAAGTTTGAGAACTCCCTGGCTTCAACTCCAGGGAACGAGGTAGCTATGGTGGATGCCAAGCGAAGGCAGGGAGCTGGGGACACGTCCCCTGAGAAGCTTCCCAGGTACCCCAGCCGAAGAGCTGGTACAGAACCACAGTGCCTGACCTGCCACGAGGGACCCAGGCAGCTTGGTGGCTGCAGGCTGTCTTGTCCCCATGAGCCCCAGGGCTGTGGCCTCATCTTTGCCTCTTTGTAAGTTCAGCTCTTGGCACAGGGCCGAGCTCTAGGTGGGCGTTCCGTCAGTATATGTTGACGGTGACTTTGCACGTGATGTGGGCAAAAGGTCCAGGGAAAAGCCAGCTAATGGAGGGTCACCATCTAGAGGCCCGTGAGTCCCTTGTGGTGGGGGAGGCTTGGTTCTGCAGGGCGTGCTTTTCTGCCCCACACAGTGTGGTTCTGGCTATGCCCCTGGGGAGGGTCTGGTTTCCAGTGTGGGGCAGGGGATGGCTCAGTCTCCCCCTACCCCTGGCATTAGTGGGGCAAGTGGGATCCTCGGGGAGGGTGCCGGTCTTGGCAGCCAGGCAGGGGCCGGCATTGGGGCACGGCTGTGGAAGCCACAGGCCCAGCCCACCGGCCTCCTGACCTGGGGCAAGTTACTCAATTCACTGTTGGCTTCCTCGTCTAATAAACAGGGATCATAACATCACTGGCCTGGTGGAGCCAGCGCGAAGCTTAAATGGGACCATGGAGATCTGGATTTAGGGCCTGGGCCTGACTCTTGGATGCTCACCAAGTGTTGGCATTGCTTTTTTTTTTCTGGAGGGAACGTGAGGTCAGCTGCAAGGAGAGGGTTAGCAGTTATGTTGTTCCTGTCCGTTAGTGCTGTTTGTATTTAAGAGAAAGCCTCTCGCATTAGGCAAAGCTGGACAGATCGAGTGTGTGAGTGTGTGTGTGTGTGAGTGAGTGAGTGTGTGAGCGTATGAATGTGTTGAGGGCACTCTTTGCTGCAGCGCTGGCCCACCCCCTGTTCACGTGGCACAGAGGGCAAGTTCTCGCTGCCCGGGAACCTCCTGGACCCCTGACTCCCCACTTCTGCCACGTCCTGTTGTCTTCTCTCTTTGATCCTCCTCTCATTGGCTTCCTGTGCTCGACCCAAACCTTGACCCCCAGGAGCCACCAGCACTACAGAATGATCTAGTTCTCTAGTCTGGAGCCCCAGGTGCCAGCAAGGGCCATTGGTGTCCCTGGGCACCCAGCTTTGGCCAGGTTTGTCTCAAGGTCTGCTGGCTCGAGCTGGGGGTGGGACAAGGGCCTGGCCTCTCTGACCACTTGGATCTGGGGGAGGGGCAGGCAGGATGGACAGGGCAGTGACACTCCAGTTGTCCTTGTTTCTTTGAGGTATCCCCAGTCATGCACACCTGCCCACACTAGAGTGAACTTCCCTCTGAAGACCTACTTCTGGTCCGCATGAGAAAGTTCCATTCCTCCTGCTAGTGAGCCTCTGAGCCTCTCCCCCATCCACTGATGGCCCTGGCCTTCCCCCGCAGGAGCACCTGCCCCTCTCTGTCCTAGGTTGTGTGACAGCACCGCAGGAAGGCGTGGGCAGGGCCATCCTTGGTTTAAATCCCGCAGTTTGGGAAGGATTGACTCCCAAGATCAGAGGGTTTAAGGGCCTCCTTGTATTTCACAAACAATCAAGATGCTTCCAAAGAGGGAGGGAACAGGTCCAGCCAGTCACTAAGCTCTTAGTGTGTCTCAACTTCAAACTCTCCTTCTGAAGTTGGCTTTGTGCTTGCAGGGGTGGGGTCACAGCTGGTCCAAGGGGAGCATGGGGAACCCTGGCTCTGCCCTGGGGAAGGGGGACGTCACACAGAGGAATGCCATCACCTTCGTTGGAGTCCCGTATAGTGGTGGAAACAGAGTTCAAAAGCCCCAGCTGGTCCTGATTCTCGAATGTTCTTGAGTTCAGTGTGGCCATTATCTTCTGGATGTCTCTCCAACTTTTCCTCTGTCTGCACCCGAACCCTGACGGGCATTAGTCTGAGTAAGCCTGACTATGATTTTTAATTTTTTTTATTTAAAAAATTTATTTAGAGGGCAAAACTAGATCTGTAGTACAAAATATACTTTTGTGGAAAAAACCACAAACTTTAGTTTCTAAATAATTATAGATTCACAGGAACTTGCAAAAATAGGACAGAGAGGTTGAGTGTACCCTTCATCCGGCTTCCCCCATTAGTTACATTTATATTCTGTTTTTTTCAGATTTTATTTACTTAGAGAGAGAGAGAGAGAGTGAGCAAGTGGGGGGAGGAGCAGAGGGAGAGGGACAAGCAGATTCTGTGCTGAGCATGGAGCCCAACACGGGGCTTGATTCCATGACCCTGAGATCATGACCTCAGCCTAAATCAAGAGTTGGATGCTTAAACGACTGAGCCACCCAGGCGCCCCTTTTTATATAACATTTATATTTATTATTTTTTTAAAAAGACTTTTATTTATTCATTTGACAGAGAGAGAGAGACAGCGAGAGAGGGAACACAGGTAGGGAGAGTGGGAGAGGAAGAAGCAGGCTTCCCACTGAGCAAGGAGCCCAATGTGGGGCTCGATCCCAGGACCCTGGGACCATGACCTGAGCTGAAGGCAGACACTTAACAACTGAGCCACGCAGGCACCCCTATAACATTTAAATTTATATAAGTGACATTCGTATAAGTCTCCTTCAATAGCCAAACCAGGAAATTGAAATTGGTACTGTGTGTGTGTGTGTGTGTGTGTGTTTGTGTGTGTACCTCTGCCATTTTATCATGTGTAGATTTGCAAAAGGGACTTGCAAGCAGTCCCCCACTCTACCTCCCCCCCGCCCAGCTTTGGTGTGGCTTCCTCAAGGATAAGCCCGAGGACTCTGGGAGGGGGGTCTCATGGCAATTCCGACTCCTGTGGGTCTGTAGAGCCCAGCTGCTGGTGGTGGGGACCGTGGGGGGCTTGCATATGGCCCCTCAGAGGCAGAGGACCCCGGAGCTGGCCAGGCAGTCATGTGTGGATGGCAGCCCAAATGCAGCCTTGAGGGAGGGGCTCAGGGAGAAGAGGGCCGGACAGTGGCTGCCCCCCTGGGTGAGGATGCCAGTTTGAGGGGGAGCTTCGGGGGCTGGGACAGCGTCAGTCCAGGCTGAGTGGCGATGGCTGAGCATTGCTCCCCACATCACCGAGCTTCTCCTCCCTGCCAAGCCCTCCGCTGGGTGCTGGGGACACAACGGTGACCCAGATCTGCTTCTAGTTCCCCAAGGGCTCAGAGTCAGGTGGGGAAACAGATACACACGAATGACATGGAAGTAATAAAAATCCTGATTATATCAGCGGACACTGACTGGACGCCTCCTGTGTATTTTACATGAATTATTGCAGTTAGTAGGCACGCCTCCCTGTGAGGTGGAGGCTGTTATTACTTCACTTCGTAGATGAGGAAACACTGGTCTGGGAGGTTAAGTCGCTTGGCCAGCGCTGCTCAGCGGGTACATGGTGCAGCCCGGGACCGGGGCAGGTGGAACGTAACATCGAGCAGGTGGTGCGCAGGCTGTGAGCACAGAGAGAGCGTGGCAGGGACACGAGGCGATATCTCCAGACATCTTTGGCTGTTGTGACCGGTGTGTGTGTGTGTGTGTGTGTGTGTGTGTGTGTGTGTGTGTTACTGGCCTCTAGTGGTTAGAGGCCAGGGGTGCATTCGGGATATACTTCTACAAGAAAAGAATTGGTTGTTTATCCGAAATTTGAATTTATCTGGGTGTCCTGTACTTTATCTGACAAACCTATGGCTGAGGCCCGTGGAACCCCAGAGGCCCCCACCACCCTGAAGCCAGCATGAAGGGACCGCTCAGCTCCTGGGAATCAGTGAGAGAGGGTCCAGAGGGAGTCCGGGGCCTGTCCTCCCTGAGGGCAGCTGGTCCGGGACAGCCAGACGCCTTTCTTTCCCATCTGGTCTGCATTTGCTGCCCCCGTCCCTGTGCCCCCCTCTGGAGTTATGCCACCCACGTGCTAGGCCGTCCGTCCCCCCCGGAGCTGGAAACCTGGTCATAGCCCTTGATCCCTCCTGCTCCTCCCACCCCTCCCCTTCTCAGATCCTGTCCCCCATGCCTGCCCGTCCCATCCCCTTTCCAACAGCCTGGCAGCCCATCACCTGTCTCGTCCTGCCCCTCCCCTTCCAATCCAGTAGAATGACCTATTGAAAACCCCTTTGCACCATAATTTTATTATGATACGTTTTAATCCTGCGAAGTATTGTTTGTTTAAAAAATAAAAATATTCAAGGACACGTAAGAGATCAAGGGCCTCCCTTCCGTCCCAGGAGGAAAATGGGGAGCTGGGGGTGAGGTTGGAAGAAGACCCATCACCGGGCTTCTTGAATTCTGAATTATGTAAACGTATTACCTATTCAAAAAATAGGTTTTTTCGAACTACCACCTTAGCTATTAATTACCTTTGGCCACCGACAGAGGTCTGACGATGCTTCAGTGCACAGACAGCTAAGTGAAGGAATAAGTGACTGATGAGAGACTTGGGGTCCCTGATGCTTAGCGGAGGGAAGGTGTCAAGAGGACTTACAATGGCATCTGCCCCATGCACACTCTGGCCACTTGCATCGCCTGAGTGCTGCTAAGAGATTGGGGCCCTTAAGTCTCTGTGAGGGGCACAGAGCATGGTGACATCAAGAAGCAACACCAGCCTTGAGGCATGTGGCTGGCCCAGCTGGTGGAGCGTGTGCCTCTTGATCTCAGGTTCGGTGGGGAGATTACTTAAAAAAAAAAAGGAAGAAAAAGCAACACCAGCCGTGGGGCTTCTGGAACTCTCCTCGGGTCTGCGTGTGGAATCCTCTTGGGCGAGCCCTCTGCCTAATCCTTGTGAGCAGGACAGTCTGTTTTCCAGCTCCCTGTGCAGCATTTGGCCCCTGGCCCTGCCCTCCTGCCAATGGGTGTCCGTGGGCGGGAGCCAGGCCACAGTCTGCGTGTGGTCTTCTCTCCCAGCCCAAATCCACCCTCTCCTTTCCTCTATGGAAGGAACATCCAGATGGGAGTGAGAATTCCAGTGTTATGGAAATAGCCCCAAATCTGTTCTTATTCATCTAAAAAGGCCAACCACACACAGACTCTGGAAGTGTGTGCTGAGTCACATGGAGCTCAGTCCCCCCTCCCCCCATCCTGGGGTCCGGCCACGTGGCTGGGCGGCTGACTGGGGTCCCCACCAGGTCCCTGGGGGCTCAGTTCTGCTCAGGCGCCAGGCCGTTGGTGGCATCACTGCCCTGAGTGTGGTGAGCTGCTGGTTTGTCTGTGTGCAGAGGCGGACCTTGTGCTGGAAGGAAGGGCAACTTTGTCCCCATGCAGCCTGCAGGTGCCATTGGCCCTTGGAGCAGAAGTGCACGGGAGATGCGAATCGAAACAGTTGCTTCTCGGGGCACCTGGGTGACTCAGTATGTTAAGCGTCTGCCTTGGGCTCAGGTCACGATCTCCGGGTCCTGGGATCTGGGATTGAGCCCCGCGTTGGTCTCCCTGCTCAGCGGGGACTCTGCTCCTCCCTCTGCCTTTCCCCCCAACTCGTGCTCTCTCTCTCTCTCTCTCTCTCTCAAATAAGTAAATAAAATCTTTAAAAAAATATATGGTTTCTTTAAAAAAAGAAAAAAAGAAAAACGGTTGTTTCTTCCAATTACATGGATAGAACCTTGAGGCTCAAAACACACTTGCAGGCCTTGGACAGAGGCAGGCTGGCCTCTGAGGACATCCCGCCAGACCCCAGCTGCGGCCCCCCCGAGCCCGCTGCTGAAAGCCACTGCCTGTAACTCGAACCAGCCGCGTGGCCCCAATGGGTGCGTGCCCTGGAGACCAGTGGGCCTGGAAGAGATGTCACTTCAGCTGACACTGCCCACCCTGTGCAGCTTCCCCCAGGATCTGTCCCTCTGTGAGGTTACAAAAACAGTGAGCAGAATTCATCCCCGGGCAGGTTACCCCACCCTAGAGCAAAGCGCTTTGTCCTGCTTTCGTGGACTCCACAGCAAGGCTGTGCAGGGTGGGCATTTGCCTTCCCGGCATCTGCCTCCCGAGGGGCCCGGGCAGTGCTGGCTTGGCAGATCGGTCTCTTGTAAAACTGCGGTGGTCATGTCACTAGCTGCGCCCCTCGGAGTCCTTCAGCTGGAGCTTCCAGCTCCATTTTCACGCCATTTCAGTCTCTGCAGAGGGAGCATGAAGACAATGTCGTTCCTGATTTGTCTTCTCCTGGCTTTGGCTCTGCTGCCTGGACCCAGAGCCTGGGTTCCTGCTCCCCTGCAGTTAGCAGCTCGTCTCAGGGGTCTTATGGCTTACCTTGGGGGGGATTCTGGGTTCCAATCCTCCCTCTGCCACCTTCCTAGCTGAGTGACCTGGTGTGGTCATGTGGCCTCTCCCTGCCTCAGTTTCTGCTTCTGTCAACTGTGGATCATAATGCCACTGACCCGCTAGGCTTGGAGGACAAAGTGCAGGACATGGAGCGTGAGGCTCACCGTGATCGGAACTGGGAAACTCTTCATGTTCTTCTGGAAACAGGCGGGCAGCCTCTTCGATAAAATTTGCAAAATCTTCTGGCCTGAATAAAATTTTGGAGGAGGCTGACATCTGCATTTTAATTTGCATATATCTGCATAAGACACACCTTAGTGCCTCTTTTGCATTCAGAATGACTGTCCTTCTTGGAGTCCCAGAGCCGCTGTCCTGCTGCTCGTGGGCAGTTTGGAAGAATCCCATGAGGGTGAGGGTGCGTGCCAGAGGAGTCACCCCTGGAGAGAAGTTCACGCTCAGCCCCCACCGGGGCGCCTCACCCTAGGTGCCACCCTCATGGACAGACCTCCCCTCACTGCTGGGGGGCTCAGGATGTAGAGCAGTGCTGTGAAGATACAGATGTTTCCAAGAGAAACAGGCACAACATAATTGCAGTTGGAGCTTTACCTGCATGGCGCCCAGTCCTCCGACAGCCCCCTTAGGCTTGCAGGCTTACCTGGGTGGTCAGTGGCAGAGTGGCAATTGGGGCTGGCTTCCCACCTCCAAACACTTAGCATCGCCACACCGAGTGGATGCTGTCACTCTGCGGTCACGGAGACCCGAGTGCTGATGGTCCGATGAGCTCGGGGGTGTAGGGTGGGAAGGCCCTGGAAACACAGCATCCCGGGGGTGGGGGGTGTGTGTGTTCTTGAGGTTTGCAAAGGTCCTGCTTTGCTTGATCGTGCCTGCCATGGATCCTGGTGCCCTCTCTGCCCCCCTCCCCTAGGTATGCTTGGCCTTCAGTGCGGAGTACGCCAAGTATGGACACGTCAAAATACACCATGGTTATACCAACGTGCTGGGCCTGGGGGACTCGAGCACGTGGAGACTGCCTTGCCTCAACCGCTTTGTGTACATGTTCCTTTCTCCTCTCTTGATCCCCATCATAACTCCACTGGTGGCTGTCGGTGAGTTTGCCAGGGCCGCACCCTGCAAGAGCAGATTCCCCACTTCCCTTACTTCCCCTCCTGACTTCCTGGAGGCTGCTTGTGGAGGAAGCTGGGAGCCCCGAGTTAAGACCAGAAATTTTCTGAGACAGCCAGGCAGGGCGGAAGGAGCCTTGGACCCAGGGCCAAGACTGGCTCTGCCACTTACTGGCTGATGACCACAGGCAGGTAACGGACCCACTCTGACTCAGATTCTTACCTGGTCCTCAAGGGTGGTGTGAAGGCATCGTGAGGCCCTAGATGTAAAAATACTTCACAGATGCCTCGTGCTATATTGCATGTTAGGGATCGTAATATTATGGGAACAATATCATTTGGTGGAAGGGGGTGCTGGAGGGCAGCCCAACCTGGGTCCCAGCCCTGGATGGCACTTACCACTTCCTAGCAGAGTGGCCTTGGTCAAGTTGCTTAGTGCTCTGCTTCCTTATCCATAAAATGGGCAAATGTCCTTTTCGGGGCTGTGAGGATGAACAGATTGCTCTAGTTAGCACACTAGTTAGCACCCGTGGACCAGCAGGGAGCCTGTTTGTGTTGGATCTGAACCTTGCCTTCCCTCCCCAGCCCCACACTCGATTTCTTGCTCCCTCTGGCAGAGCGGCTGAGGAAGGTGGAGCTCAGGTTGGCTGTGCGCACGCTGGGCCTGATTTCCCTGGGCCTCTATGCTCACTACTGGCTACTTCTGAACGTGTCTGGCTTCAGGAGCCCCGGCTCGGCCCTGCTCTGCATGTTCATCACCAGATCCCTGCTGGCCCATCCTTACCTTCATGTCAACATCTTCCAGGTGAGGCCTCCCCGACCTTGAACGCAGGCTAGACTCAGTGTTCTAAGGAAAGAGAGAGAGGCAGTCCCCCCACCTCCCACCCCAACTTCTCTGTGGGTTATCACAGAGAGTTTGGGTTGCAAGTAAAGTATTTGCTTCTCTTCAACACTGGCTGCCATTCACATGTGGATGGTAGATGGAAGATTTAAGAAACTTACATGCCTAGGGCACTTGATCAGGTCCTGTGGAGACACAAGTGGTTAGGACCCCATCTCCCGTCCTCGGGGCACTTACTGGGACAGGCCCAAGTGACGTGAGCCACGGGCCATCACCGAGGCCCCAGCGCAGGTCACGAGACAGGAGGAGCCAGAGACGGGAGGTCTCCAGGGGAGGCCAGGGGCTCAGCACTCAGATCCATAGGGATGGGTCCCTGTTCCCTGGACATGAAGACGAGACGGATGAAGGTGAGAGCGTCCTTCATGCCCCCATCCCAGCACCGGCCACGCTCATCTCGGAGTGCGAAGCTGTGCGTACTGCCCGGGCCGCCCGGCCGCCTGTCTGTCTTGCTAGAGCGGACGCTCCCGTTCACGTCCAAATCCCTTGGAGGAGGCACTTGTTGAATGAAAAATTGCACAAACTTGATCTTGAATCCTGAGCAGAATTTTGATTGGTGAAAAGAGAGCAGAGAAGGGTCTCTCCAGGATGAGACAAAGGCATCGTGGCATGAGAGTGGTGGGCATGTCAGGATCATGGGGTCCAAGGGGTACCCAAGCCAAGCCCCTCATTGTACAGATGGAGAGAGAGGCCCAGAGATGGGTGAGATTGAGCTCAGAGCACAGACAGGAGAATCCCAGCCTCCTCTTGCGTCTCCACGTCCCGCCAGAGGTCCCCAAGTGGTAGGTGAGGATGTCCAGGGCGGGGCGGGGAGGCCCAGGGCTGCCCGGCCTAGGCCTAGGGTGTGACCCACATGTCTGTCACAGCACATTGGGCTGCCCATGTTCTCCCGGGACAAGAAGCCCCGGCGGATTCACATGATGAGCCTGGGTGTGCTGAACCTGCCTCGGCTGCCGGTGCTGGACTGGGCGTTTGGCCACTCCCTCATCAGCTGCCATGTGGAACACCACTTGTTCCCCTGGCTCTCTGACAACATGTGCCTGAAGGTAGGTGGCGGTCGGACCAGCGGGGTTGGGATGAAGGGACTATCTGAGGGCAGAGGGAAGTGAACCCCGGGTCCCCCAGCTGGCCTGGTCAGAGGTACCCTGGAAGGCCAGCCCTGTGTCCAGGCAGCAGTGTGCGTTTCCGATCAGAGACAGGTGGGTTCCTTACTAGCACTGCGACTCTGGACAAGTTGACTGAATGTCCGGGAGCCTCAGCTTCCTCATCTGGACGACGAGAGTAAGCGGTGCTTGTTGGCACGCTTTAAGGATGAAATGAGATGGATCTGACATGCTGGGCATGCAGTACGTGCTTGGCAAATGGGGAGCTACAGTTTTTATCCCCTATGCCAAGGGAGACTGTCATACACTTGGGCACCCTGGGGGGGAGGATGTGGGGGAGAAGGCCCCCACCACCCCTTTCCCTTGCCTTCTGGGAGGGGAGAGGCAGGAATTCTCCCCGCCCCTCTGCTCCTCTAGAGCATCATGGAACAAGGCAACAAGAAATGGGGCTGGGAGGAGGAAGGGCCGCCCCTGGGGAGGGGGCTATCCCCAGTTCTGGCTCAGCGGACCGTCCTGTCCACCTTCTGGCAGGTGAAGCCCGTGGTGTCCCAGTTCCTCCATGAGAAGAAGCTGCGGTACAATGAGGACTCTTACCTGGCTCGCTTCAGGCTGTTTCTCAGTCACTATGAGGAGTTAATGGTGCAGACCCCTCCCATCACCGAACTGGTGGGATTGCAGTGAGGGGTGGGCCGCACAGTCACCCTGCACCCCCTCCCTGACCCAACCCTAGCTCTCTTGCTTCTGCTGGCCTGCCCCCATCCAGGAGGGCCTGGGCCCTCCCCTAGTGTGGTGGCTGGGTTGCTGGTGGTGGAATGGGGAGGCACTGGGGGCAGTGAGGTGGAGCGCTCCGGCTGGGATTTCTGGGGATAACCTGCCTTGCTTGCTTTTCTGAGTTTTGAGGGGTATCTGGGGGAAAGGACTAATAGTGGCATTCTGGTCAGTGTGGACCTCAGCCAACCTTATCTCAGGGCTAAACAGCTGGATTCCTCCTGTGCTGTGTCTGAGCCTTGGTAGGGTTAAGGGAAGGTGATGGGGGGGGAAAGGAGGGGTCCTGGGCAGGGGGAGGCAAGGGGAGAGAAGGGCCAGTCCCTCAGTTAGGGCCTCCCGAGTGCCAGGAGAGCCTATGTGTGGCTGGCCACTGCTTCTTCCTGTGTCCTTTGAGGCTCTGTCTGCTAAGGAGCCTTCTGCCCAGGGACCACAGGGAGAGGTTACTTTTGGCAGACTTTCCTGGTATCTCAGCCAGAGAAGCCTCGGCAAGACACAGAGCAGCTCCCAAGACCTGCAACATCAGTGAAATCAAAGTGTATGTGTTTTGTGGGGAGAGCCCTCCGGGGGAAATAAGGGCATAAATAAGAGTGTAAATAGCTTTGAGCTTGACCTTGGCTAGTTCTAGAAAAAGTCTGCTTTGTTCCATGATGTTTAGAAGGGGTGGACCCGGAAGAACTATCAATTGCAAAGAGAAAAATTACTGGGAGGGTAGCCAAGTCTGGAGGGGGTGATGGGCTCAGTGTCTGGAGGACAGACCGCCTTAGAGGGGAGAGGAAGGAGGGCAGGGTGCAGATACAAGGGTTTGGAGTCAAGAGCAGGGCTTGGCTGTGAACAGGTGCCTGCAGCCTGGGAGGGAGGCAAGGATACAGGGAGTCACTGATGCCAGCCAGAGGAGAGAGGCAGTGTGCTGGAGACACCACTGAGAATCAGCGCAAAGTGGGCAGCCTGGGGCGAGGGCTGGGGGCCACCCTAACTAGTGGCTGGATGACAGGGCACAAGGGAGGGCCCAGCTAGAGACTGAGGGAGGGACAGAAGAGGAGGCCAGGCCTATGACAGGAGCCCAGAGCAGTTAGTCCAAAGCAGGGTTTCTTACGTCAGAGTATTGACATCATGGCCAGATCGTTCTTTGTCACTGGGCCCTGTCCTGGGCATCCCAGGATGTTTAGCAGCATCCCTAGTTTCTACCCACGGATATGCCAGGAACCCAAGTTGTGACAATCAAAAATGTCTCCAGACATTGCCAACTACCTGTCTCCTAGGGGGCAAAATCATCTCTGGTTGAGAACCTGCGAGTCATGTTCTGAGCACACAACTGCCTTGTTTTTCAGTGAAGCCTTTGGACAGGGTGGAGGGCGTGCTGGCTCTGCTGGTGGGGAGGCTAAAGGCAGCAAATGGGATGGGCAGAGGGGTTAGACAGCAGGCCGCGCCGTCCTCTAAGCCTGGTCCCGGTGGAGAACCCGTCTCTGGTGTGGCTCTGCTGCCCCTCCAGATCCATTCTCAACCCCCCTCTTCTTCTCCACCCTGCCTTCCTCTACAAAAGACCACAGCTTCTGCCCGGCACCCTTTCCTATAGCGAGGGCTCTCACTACTTCTGAAACTGCTCCTTTGGGGCCTGGGGTGGTAATGGCTTCCAGTCTTTGCTAGCCAGGGGTGCTTCCCCATTCCCTTGATCCTGCCCACACCTCTGTACAAAGTTCCTTCATTAAACTCTTTTCAGCAGCCCTTCTGAGCGTGCCATCTCTTTCTTGCTGGGAGGTGGACCGATAGAGCCGAGTTTTGGACCCAAGCAGCCCTCTTGGAACAAGAAAGGGTTGGCAGCCTCCCCAGCCTACTGCTTTGCTATACGTTATTACTGCTCTTTTGAAATGCATTAACAGCTCAGAAATGGCCCTCAGGTCTGGGAATGTGATTAATCAAACTGCTAATTCTCCACATGAAAAAATGTAATGTCAGAAAAGGTCCCATTGCGTAGTCCTGGTTAATGATCAAAACCATCTTAATCCATACCAATGACTCATTGTTATTGATCTGGGCCTGAGTGGGGAATAGGCAGCTCCCATACCAGACCTGGCTGTACCTCAGGAGCCCGGGAACAAGGCACTTGATTTCTTTGAGGCTCGATTTTCTGTTACTCTAAGGATGTGGGCTGGGAATGCATGGGGCTTGAGAGGGAAGAAGGGAGGTGATAGGAGAGAATGAAGCCCTCCCTGGACTCTACAGAGACCTAAGGCCCAATTTACAGAGGTATATGGGAGGTGGTAATATTGATGATGGTGATGATGATAGCTAACATTTTCAGAACTTATAGCAAACATTTTTTTTTTTTTTTAAGAGGGAGTGGGGAGGGAAGCGCAGAGGGAAAGGGAGAGAGAGAATCCCAAGCCGACTCCACGCCCAGCCGGAGCCCCACGCAGGGCTTGATCCCACGACCCTGAGATCATGACCTGAGCCGAAATCAAGAGTTGGACCTTAACTGACTGAGCCACCCAGGTGTCCCCACATAGTATTTTGGGCTTTGTGGACCATATGGCCTCAGTCATAACTACTGAAACACAACTACTCAAAGCACATTGAGCCACAGAAAATATGGAAAGAAATGAGCATGACTGTGTGCCAATAAAACTTTCTTTGAACTTTAAGTAATTTTCACAGGCCACAAAATATTATTCTTCACAATTTTTTAACCACTTAAGAATGGAAAAACCATTGGCTTGCCCTACTATGAAATCAGATGGTGGGCAGGATTTGGCCTGCAAGCGATAGTTTGCCTCCTCCTGGTCTAGTGGGACGGGAACAAAATACAATGACTTTGTAAAAACCAGAATAGTATTTACTTCTCAGTAGGAGAGACGGGGAGTGACAAGGAGAGGCACATGTCCCATTTCTTGAACCAGTTGCTGGTTTATATGGTTACATCTTGTGGTAATTCGTCAAACAGTACATGTTAGTGATTTGTGCACTTTTCTGTTGTTAGACTTCAATAAAAAGACAACTAAAAAATGATAAGGCAGGGACGCCTGGGTGGCTCAGTCGGTTAAGCATCTGCCTTTGGCTCAGATCACGATCCCAGCATCCTGGGATGGAGTCCCGCATGGGGCTCCCCGCACAGCGGGGAAGTCTGTGGTCTTCAGTTTTGATCTCTTAAAATATTTTGCATTAAAATATTTTTTTACCTTAATTACTGAGGTTTTTGGCGCCCCCTGAAATTCTGCACCCGAAGCCCGTGTCTTAGCAGCCTCACCTAGTACCAGTCCAGTTGGGACAGGAATGGGAGGGTATGGCTCTGTCCTTAGCACCGAGGGCAAGCTGTTCCTCCCCTGTTTCTTAACCTACGTGAAGGGGAAGGGGGTGAGGTGGGGCTTGATCTCTCAGGTTTAAAATGCTGCCTGGCCGGAACTGGACAGCATGTGGCTGGGGTAACACCTGCACAAGGCCCATGTGCGGCCAAGGCCCCACAGGAGCCCTTTTTCCCAGACTTCCGGACTCCGTGGTTATCACGCGAAGGGCAGGGAGGCTCCTTTGGAACTCGACTACTGATTGGCTGGGAAGAAACCAGGCCCAGGCCAGGAGTGCACGCTATCAAAAAGGACCGGCCCATGCGTCATCAGAGAGCGACGAGCGTCTCCGAGGGGGAGAGGCTTAGTAAAGTAAGCTCCTTCCTAATTGGCTCCCTCCATCAGGCGGGATTGAAACAGCGATGGAGATTCGCTCTCGTTCAACGCTAGCCTCCGGATGATTGGATTGGGGAGAAATTTATTAAGTCACTAGGGCTCGGAAGTCCTGGGGGCGGGCCCTCAGCGATAGGGGGTGGATCGGCGGGCCGGCTTCTCTTTTGGGGGCGGGCTTCTTTCCGGGATGGAGGCGTGGCCTCCACACTGTGCGTTCCCAGAGCGCGGGAGGCGGGACTTTGGGCGGGGGCGGGGCCGGAGCCCGAGCGGAGCACGGATGCCCCCGCACTGAGCGCGGGGCGTCTCCGGGATTCTGTCCTCTGGCCGGTTGCTCTTCCAAGCCATGGCTCCGCGTTGCTGGCGCTGGTGGCACTGGTCGGCGTGGCGTCGGACCCGGCCGCCTCCCGCCGGGAGCACCCCAAGTAGGAGCAGGGCACCTACCTGTAGGGCTGAATGGCAGCGCCGGGAGGCCTGCGAGCGTCAAGTGTGGGGGTCAGAGGGGACCTGGGGCAGGGCTGGAGAGGGGCGAGAGGGGGCCAGGGGCGAAACCGGAGGGGTCCACTCCTACGGACGAGATTGGCGTGGTGTACGGGGGCAGGTGGGGGCCTGTGCGGTCACATGTGTGTCAACAAAGTGAGAAGGGGAGACCGTGAGGTGCACAGGTGTGAGACTGGGTGAATGGGGGTTATGTGAAGGTCTGGGAGCCAAGAGCGAAGTCTGAGGTAGAACAGGGGTCTCTAGGAAAGACAGGGGTCTATGGGGACAATATAGCGTTCTGTGGAGAGAGAGTGGGTAGAAGAGCTACAGTCGGGCATTGTGGGAGATCCACGGGGGCAAGATTGGGATGATTTGGAGTCTGTTGGAAGGATGTGGTAGTCTAGCTGGGTGGGTAGGGAACCCTGTAAGAAAATGAAGTACTGTGCAGGGCAGCTTCAGGGGTGATGGGGATTGTTGAGTGGGCATAGTAAATTCATGGGTGAGATGCGGGACTCTGGATGAAGACACAGCCTTTGGGGGTTCAGACAAAGTAAGGGATCCTGCAAACGCCAAAGCTTTGAGGAAAAAGAGGAGGAGGGTGCAAACAGGGGTGAAGCTTGGGAAGCTCCAGCTTCTGCCTGATGTTGATGTTGGTTTGGGAAGTGCTGATCTGACCTTCCATCCCTTTTCTCTCGCCCCCCCCCCCGCCCCCCTACCAGGCTTCCGGCAGCAGTTCTCTACACAGGAGCAGCCCCCTCAGATCTGTGTGGTGGGCAGTGGCCCAGCTGGCTTCTATACTGCCCAACATCTGCTAAAGGTAAGCCACATTTTCCTGGTTCCA